CATCCGATCACGGAACGAGGAAACCGGTATATTCTTCTAATTGTTGATTACGCTACCAGATACCATGAAGCCATTGCTTTACCCCGAATTGGGTATTCCCGAAGAAGTAATAACAGATAGAGGAACTCTGTTCACCTCCGAGGCAATGAGAGAAGTAAGCCGTTTGCTATCTATAAGACATTTTACAACAACTCCTTACCATCCTATGTGTAATGGTCTCGTTGAGAGGTTTAATGCTACTCTCAAGAAAATGTCACGTAGAATGTGTCGGCCCAAACATTGAGACCGATACTTACCTACATTGTTATTTGCTTACAGGGAGGCCCCCAGGAAAGTCTAGGAATTTCCCCATTTTCTTTAATAAATGGTAGAGTAGTGAGAGGTCCGCTCACTATTTTCAAAGAAATTTGGACAGAGGAAGAGGTTGACGAAGAAGTGAAGACAACAGAGTATGTTGTGGACTTACAAAGACGGTTACAGTCTACATGTAAGTTAGCGGCTGACGAATTAGCAAGGTCATCTTTACGTTATCGGAAGTACTACGACGCCAAGGCAAAAGATCGACGATTTAAGGTTTGTGATAAAGTCTTAATATTAAGACCAACTGAACATGGGTGGTCCATTTGAAGTTGTTGGGTTAGTTGCCAAACATGTATATCGTATTAATGTTAAGGGTCAGGAAAAAACGTATCATGCTAATCTATTGACGTTTTATGTACAGAGACAGAAGGAAGACGATGAACTTGGTATGGCAGTAGCTCTGATTGATTTACCGGAAAACGACCAAGAAGGTATGCTGGAAGTGGTGTTGCCATTTCTACAAACTCAGGAGAGTATTATGGATGTAAATGTTAGTGAAGACGTAACAGAGATGGATAAAATAAAAGTCGAAGAAGTTTTGCAGACATGTGAGACCGTGTTTACAGTTGTCCCAGGTACGACTAATCTAACTGATTACAGAATATACTTAACCACAGATGTTCCAATAAGATAAGATCAAGAGCTTATCCAGAGCCAGAATCAACAAGAGAAGTAGTGAAGCAAGAAATGGAGTCGATGGTTGAAATGGGAATAGTGGAGCGATCTGAATCTTCATATGCCTCTCCTATGGTGCTCGTTAAAAAACCAGATGGGTGAAATAGGTTCTTGCCAATCTGTCGGTATTCGATCCCGTTTTCCTGCGAAAAAAAAGCTCCGAACGTACAGATTCCTAAAAGATAGCAAATTCAATTTCAACGTACCACCGTTTCACACATCCCGAGATCTAAAAATCTCGTTCGCGTTGAAACTAGACAAAACCGGAACCAGCCACGTTCTGAACGCGAACGAGCAGCAGAGCTACGTTCACGTGTCCGTGATCAACTCGAAGATGGTGGTCACGTTGCTGGTTTCGCGAAAGTTAGCTATCCTGAGAAACTCGAAAACGCTGAAGATGGGCGTCTGGTACGACGTGGACATTCGAAAGATCGGCGGCTTCGCACGACTGGACGTGAACGGGATTGCCGGCACCCTAACAGAGATCAATCGAGACTCGATGTTCTCGGGTGCGATCTCCGTAGGTTCCAGACACTCAGCGAGCATGAACTCTATCGTCGGCTGCATGCGAGGGATAACAGTGAATTCGGTCGACGTGGAACTGCCACCCTCCACGGAAAGATGTCACCAATACGACGCCGACGCCGACGACGACAACAACAACAACGAGCGCGCGGCGAACGCGAATCTAGAAATGACGGACGAAACGATGATGGTACCCGAAATGCTGTCCTTCCGCTTAAGCAACGTGACCGGCGTCCGAGTGTCACTGACTCACAAAAGCATGGACGTCCGCCACAGTCTGCGCATCTCGTTCTACATGAAATTGAAGAAAGGAAACGACGGCGGCCAGATT